AGAATACTACACGAGGTCTCATTACATACGAATTATACGAAACGAGTGTCCTTCCTATGGTATCTGGAATTATGAATGAAAAAATAGTTACATCAGAATGTGACCTAATTGAGAGGTCATCGGTTATCCAATCAAATCGTTTAAATCTCAGGTCAAGTCGTTACGACACAGGTCAACGCGATACGACAACCGTGTGACGTACGAGATTAGTATGCAGCTACCCATACGTTGACCACGTGGGTAATAAATATGTTAATATGGGTACTTGCATACTAAGCTCGTACGTCACACGAGTGTCGTATCGCGTTGACCTGTGTCGTAATGACTTGACCTGAGATTTTAACGATTTGATTGGATAACTGATGACCTCTCAGTTAGGTCACGTTGTGACGGAACTACTTGTTCATTCATAACAAACACGTGAATTCATTCATTCTACAACTTAGATGCATTTTGGGAATGTAAACATTGCGAACGTTGTCGTGTCGCTGTTTAATTGTGAGACGAACTGAGACGTTATATCCGTCGAAAAACATAAACGCAATGTTTCCACCAGTGATGTTAGCCGAGTGAAGCAGTTGCAAACCAAGAAACGGGGTGCTACGGAGTAGTTTACTGAAGGAGGCTGTACGAGAGGCGATGACAACTGACATGCATCGTGACGTCGGTTACCAAGGGGACGGACGAGTGACGTCAATACAGTGTCACGTCATGCAAAAGTGTACGTCAGAACAAAATTCTTCCGCAACCTCTTTATGAAACCGGTTTAGGTTTGAAACCACAACAATACCAAAACTACGCTATTTTGTCAATTTAATGCATGTAAGACGTGGGTAATAAATAAAATACCACACTCGGTCGCATAACATACGAATTATACGAAACTCGTGACCTTCCCCTGGTTTCTGACCTCGCTTTCGCTCGGTCAGATACCATGGGAAGGACACTCCTTTCGTATAATTCGTATGTAATGAGACCTCGTGTAGTATTCTCTATATATTACGCTGTTATGTGTAATATACTCACACATATACAAATGCTCATGGAATAGTGAATGTTACATGCATACTGGTACACATTCAACTATATCAATTCTTGTTACATTTGTCACAGTGGGATTTTTATGGCCACATTTCCAAAGTTTTTGCGATGTTATATTCATTGCTTTTTGGGTTGAAATCAGCTTTTTTGCTTCTCAATTCCACCATTGGCCCAGAGTTCAACATATTTACAAATAATGATTGTTTCTTCTAACGTCATATCAATTCGTGATTTATGTAAGGTATTAAATCAGATATAATAGATTTATTTTGAATAAATTCTAGTTTGAAGAGAACAGCGCCATGAGCAACCGCTTGGTGATTGGAATAGGGCGATATACAAATGGACTTATTATTACACCCAAACTATGCGTTTCCAATTTTTCTATTAACACCTCTTTCCACCTTCAGCTAGAGATTTACGTACATATGTGTATTACGCTGCGAGGCAATAACGTTGTTTGATATTTTCATTTAATTATCTTCTAATTGTTCTCTTTCATTCAAGGATCAAATCTTAACCTCAGTCTCACAGTACGCGTATATTTTAGTTATTGATTTCGTTCCCCGTAGCTCATCCAAGTCCACGTGCTTGCCAAAAATCGTTTGGTTTAGTCGCACTTCTAGAATGTCACCGCTGCAAATGTCTGTATCAACAATATCGTCTGTTATTTCCTTTATACCTCATCGCAGCGTTTAAGTCATTATTTGAATCTATCTGCAGTGTTTACCCTCGTCTTTAAATCTCCTTGCTGTGTTTAAGGTCTTCTTTAACTCTCCTTGCTGTGTTTAAGGTCTTCTTTAAATCTCCTTGCTGTGCTTAAGGTCTTCTTTAAATCTCCTTGCTGTGCTTAAGGTCTTCTTTAAATCTCCTTGCTGTGCTTAAGGTCTTCTTTAAATCTCCTTGCTGTGTTTAAGGTCTTCTTTAAATCTCCTTGCTGTGCTTAAGGTCTTCTTTAAATCTCCTTGCTGTGTTTAAAGTCTTCTTTAAATTGAGTGATGTTCCCTGTGATGTCTGTTTTAATGTTTCTAAGTTCTTCAATAATGAGGGCGGTGGGGTAGCCTAGTAGTTAAAGCGTTAGCTCGTCTCGCCGAAGATCCGGGTTCGCTTCCCCATATGGGCATAATGAGTGAAACCCATTTCTAATGTCCCCCGCTGAAATATTGCTAAAGGCGGCGTAAAACTAAACTCACTCACTCTTCTATGATGTTAGATGTATTTTAATCAGGCTGTCGGCAGCTGATTGATCCAGAGTTTAGTTAAACGCCCGAACACAGTAATGGTAAGTGTAGTGACACAGACCATTGTAATTGTTGACCAGACAATAGGAAATCACTGGGCACGTTGCACCAACAGTCTACGTCATTGCCGAGGTCCACAAAGGCCACCTGTTCATGTGAACCCAGAATCCGAAAACACGATCTGGCATATAGCACCCAGAATAACGATTACAGTTGTTTAACATGGCGGGAGCCTGTAAGTAATCGCGTGTAAGTAATTGAAACTGGACCAGGGCCTCGTTCCTCAACACGATCGTAGCGCTAAGATGATCGTAACTCCCATACTTTAACATAGACTTACGACTGTCGTAGCGCTACGATCACTTTGAGGAACGGGGGTCTGACAATCCAATTATCCACAGCTAGAGCTTCGTTCTACACAACTGTAGATCTGCCGTCTTTCACCAAGGGAGGCGATACATCCATTGCATTTTCTGTATGTTTCTATGTCGAATATGGCTTCTTTCTGTGACACTTGTGCTCCCGAAACTTTCAGATGGGGTATATACATAAGCTTGTCTGTTTACTACATTAAAATAATTAGAATCAGATGAAGTAAATACATCGTGATGACCATGACCTACTTCCCCATGAACATTATGGGCCACACATTACACGTCATTTCATTTCACCTCCTCGTTATTAAGGATACGACGACGACGACGACGACGACGATGATGATGACGATGGTGATGACGGAGGTGATGACGCTGGTGATGACGATGACGATGACGATGGTAAGTTGTTGCTGATGATAATTAACAGTGTGCCAACGGTGATGTACGTGTGTAGGTGCGTGTGTGTGAGTGTGTGTGTGCGTGCGTGCGTGCGCGTGTGTGTGTGTGTGTACTGGTGCTGCCAATAGTGCTAGCCGACTGATACACCATACTACTGTTTAACTCAGGTACTTAAGTCAAACACAGCATAGTGAACGTTCCTTTTTGTCCTCTCAATACAGAGCTGAAGGCAAACCAAAAAGAAGTACCATCTCGATTCTGCCGTGGATTGAACCTCAGACCTTCCGGTCTCCGGACAGACGTTCTGTCCACTGGACCAAGGAGACGGTCACTTGCACAAGTACAACGAAGAGCTGGCTATACTGTTTTACCCTTATCATGGGGAGAGAATGTATTGTATTTCTATTCGGTTTTGATTTGGGGTGTATGTACTCTTAATATTTGACGCACAAGAATATATATATCTACTACGACAATACACTTCTCGCCACGTCAGTGATATAGTTTTGATATATTAGTATACAATGCAGGATTCATCACGTCTATGAAGTATAGTTGGTACATTAGTATACTATGACAATTCAAGTCTCACAACGTCTATGCAATATAATTGATACATTAGTATGACAATGCACGATTCACTTCGTGTATGAAGTATATTTCATATATCATTATGCTCATGATAATGCACGATTAACTATGTCTATGAAGTATATTCGGTATATTATATAAAATTTAGTATATTGACAATCTATGGAAATGCATGTTTCCACATTGGAGCATCTGGTATAAAATCGAATTCATGAAAATAATCAAAATAAGAATGCTGACATATTGTCTTACCTCCTAGGAAGAAAATATAGTCCTGATGTGGCAGAAATTGTGCTTTATAATCGAAACGATTTGAGTGTTTCATAACCCAAACGATTTAAATACATGCTACAACATTCATGTTTGCTCTGATCACATTTTCGTCCACGTTACATGGCGGTCTCCCGAGCGCATGAACAGCACGTGCTGAAAGATACATGCACGAACTGCTCATCGTTTTTCACTGATATAGAATCGATACGAATTATATAAATGTGCCTATTTTATCCAATATAAAGTCATAGAATTAGCAGATTACTAGTCAATATGACTCTCTTTTTACAGAGAGATATTCGTGGGGAAGATTGTTTTCCCCTTATCATGGGAAGAGAATGTATTATATCTCTACTCTGTTTTGTTTTGGGGTGTCTGCATTTCTGTGAAAGACACATTCTAATCACACACGTTGAGTATGCATTTTCGTCATCGAAATCACACATAATTCGCGATTCTTCATGTTTTGTATTTATTTTATTCTCAAAAACAGTGACCCGAACATGTATTTCTAAACAAATCTTTTGCATATTTCATACGACTGCACAAATCTTGAATGTCAACTTGACGCATTTAGATAATTCAGTCAGCTTTTACTGCCATATATGTATACAACTTCATGCTGCACTTGAAATAGTTATGCTATGGCTCCGAAGCTAAAGATAATATCTCAAAACTGCCGGGGCCTAACTAACATTGTTAAAAGAAAAAAAGTATTTCAATATCTCCGTAAAAAAGAATGGTATCATTTACTGGCTGCAGGATGTTCACTTTACGTCAGACCAGGAACAGCTAACAGACAACAATGGGGATACAAAGAATGCTATTTTATGCTATTGTCTCAGAAGTAACGCCCGAGGGACAACGATTTTGTTTCATAATAATTTTGAATTCAAAGTTCTAGATGCAACTGTTGATACAGAAGGAAACTTAGTTGCTTTAAAAATAATGTCAAATGAAATATCCTGTACAATTATCAGTATTAATGGTCCGAATAAGGATGAGCCGGGTATATTTGAACTTATCATAGATATAATCAAACAATTCGATAGCGATGAGATTTGTATATGTGGCGATTGGAACTTCGTTCTCAATCAAAGACTAGACATATATAACTATAAAAACATAAACCATCTTAAATCCAAAGGAAAACTCTCGGAAATTATTGAAATGTTTGATCTCAAAGACCCATGGAGCGAGATGAATATGAAACAAAAAGATATACATGGCGCCAGCCGACACCTTTAAAACAAGCACGACTAGATTTTTTCTCATAACCCATAATCTTATGCCCAGTTGATACTTGCGAAATTCATCCAAGCATCAACTCTGACCACTCGCTTATTGAATAAATGGAATAATGGAAAAGGTTTTTGGATTAAAACTCTGTATAATGGTATAGAATCACGTGTACTTGTGAACGGTTTCGCCTCAGATCAAAATTGGACGCGGCTGTCGCCAAGGTGACCAAATAGCTCCATACCTATTCATACTTTGTGTAGAGATTTTAGGCATAATGATGAAAATCAATACAGACATTAAAGGAATAAATTTGGGAAACATTGAGTACCTACTTGCACATTTTGTTGATGATACTACTCTGTCTTTAGATGGATCTGAAAAATGCCTTTATGCAACGCTAAATACTCTCCACATTTTCCAGCGTTTTTCTGGTTTAAAGGTAAATGTAGAAAAGACCAAATTGATTTGGATCGGATCTAAGAAACGATCTAGATACAAACTTTGCAAAGAATGGAAATTTGATTGGACCCAAACGAGTTTCTCTCTCTTGGGAATTAACTTTGACATTGATCTTGACAGTACAGGTATGGTTGAAAAAAACTACGATGACAACTTTTCCTATATTGAAAACCAAATGAATATTTGGTCAGCCCGAAGCCTTACCCCTTTAGGTAGAAACACTATCTTAAAATCCCTCTTACTCCCTAAATTAAATGATATATTTTCTTCGGTACCAGATCCACCAAAACACAAAATTGAAAATTCCAGAAGAAATATTTTAACTTCATTTGGAGGGGTAAGCGCGATAAAGTTAAACGAGATGTCTTAGTTTTAAAACTTGAGCATGGAGATATAAAAGCACCAAATATATAAGAAATTATAGCATCCCCAAAACTACGGTGGATAGCTAGACTACAAAATGGAGAAAAGAAATGGAGTACTATTATTACAAACAGATTGAATGATATAAATATACTATGGCTTTCAGATAGTAACTATATTAGAAATCAAGTAATTCCAGATATGACTAATTCTTTTTTGAAGGATGTGCTTCTGTCATACTCAGTCTTTCTTAATAAGTGTAAAACGCTCGAGATTTCAGAAGGTGACCTACTTAGTCAATGTTTGTGGAATAATGATGAAATAAGAATAGATAAAAAACCTATTATGTACAGATCATGGTACAAGAAAGGTGTTACATTTATCAGTGATTTAATGCACCATGAAGGCAGACTGTTAAATATCGATGAATTCAAAAGAAAAAATAATATCCAAATGAATTTTTTGACTTATGAAGGTATAAAACGGGCTGTTTTGTTGTATATTTCTAAGTTGGATATAAAGAGAATACAAACTGTCGGTCCAAATCCAATCTACCCTTTTAACTTATTATACATTACTACACTATCAGGAAGTAAATATATATATACGACATTATTGGATTCTAAATATGTACAATTACCATGTTATAATAAATGGGCAAGAATCTTAGATTGCGAATTTTCAGAAAAGGAATGGAGAGTATTTAATATGATAGCTCATAAATGCACTCGTAGTGCTGACTTAAAATGGCTGCAATATAGGATCATTCATAATATTCTTCCTACGAACTGCTTCTTATTCAGGATAAAGATATCGGAAACACCCCTTTGCCGTTTTTGTAATAAAAAATAAGAAACTTTAGAACACCTGTTTTGGTATTGTGATCCGGTATTAACAATTTGGAAAAGTTTAGAAAAACGGTTAAAAACAGCTCAAATTTACATTAACCTGCACAATTTCAAAGATAATGCTCGGAATCAAAGGAAGAAATAACAATCCTATTAACGCCGTTATCTTACTTGTTACAGACATTATATTCAAAAACAGTCAAAACAAACATTCCCAATTTCGGGTATATAGTAAGTCAAATTAAGCAGTACTACGACATTACAAAATATAATTATTTAGTTTCTGTGAAAACAATATTTTTGTTAAACTCTGGTCATCCTTACATACTATATTGAAAACTTGATTTATGTAAATTTACCTCTTGGACTGTACATTGTAAAAGTCACTTTATTCTATGCACCTCATATATGTCAAATTGTGTGTGTGTGTATACTGTTGTATGTTAACCGAACTGTACATTTTTAAACATGAAAAATATGAAAAAAAAGAAAAAAAAGAGCTGGATATACGTTCCGGATGGGACTCAACCCAACAAAAGTAATAGAATCTGTACTTTACAGAGAAAGTGTATTCCCAAATATATCGTGTTACATTTGACCACTTTCTAAAAGGCATTGTGTATTCATCGATATACAGTGTTATGGAATAACCGAAGAGAATCTCTGTTGTCGACCTTTGTCTTGTGTGTGCTGAATATTTTTTTGTATGTGAACAGTAACTTTTGTACTACATCTTCGACCAGCCCTAAGACACATCAATGTGACACCCCCACACCCAAGCTCAGAAATACGTGTAATATTACGCTTTCAGATGACATGCCATGTGTCTATGATGTATAACTATGTAATCGTAACACTTTGAAACGCCTCCGTAAATTGTAAAGTCATCAAACCTTACGTAAACAGCACAGTAAGCAATAGTGGGCGGACATGGTTGTAAAATGATTGACTGTCGTGGAGTAAATTCCAGAGTTCATGAGGATGTACAACACAATGAATGTAACCGCGATTCAATAATGATTCAATAGAAGTCGATTAGCCAATTCAGTTTCACCCATTTCCCAGGTAAACAAGAAATGCAATGTACAAGGAACAAACGAATCCGCTCACAGTGTTTCCTATTTAGATCTCTCCTCTAGACAGTTTGACAGGAATGCTGACGTTAACTTCCCATTATAAAATATTTCCCTTATGTAGAGCGATAGTTACGCAGCTAGAGCCTTTGGTGTCGACATTTCACAGCTTATGGTATAAAATCGAGCATGCTATTTTCTGCGACGATATTTAGGAGCGTCATAACTCTTTTAGTCTGAAGTTGTTTGATAACCAATACAAAATTTAGGGCTTTTAAAAAAACCTTAAAGGGTTTTAGTTGTAGACCGTCTATTTAATTATCCCGCGTCCGTATGTTTTTCACATAAACAATTGACTTGGGTAGAGTGGGTAGAGTAGGAAAGTCGCAATACTCGTGGTATTATCAATATTCGAAAGATTCATTCATCTATTTCTGCATCCATCCTCACTCACTCACCACCTCACTCACTCACCACCTCACACACTCACCACCTCACTCACTCACACACTCACCACCTCACTCACTCACCACCTCATTCACACGCTCACTCACCACCTCACTCACTCACACACTCACCACCTCACTCACACGCTAACTCACTCACTCACTCACTCATACACTCACCACCTCAATCACTCATCCATCCGTTCATTCATCTGCATTACAGGTTTCATAAGTGCTATATCACTCAAGGAATCCACAACATACCACAGGCTTAATACGAGTTGATATGATGGACGTTGTTTAGATGGCGAGATAATACCAGTAACTAATTTAACCTGGATGTGCCCTGCCATACCCAACTTGTGCCCCTAGTACTCGTGAATGTATTATGATATACGTCAGAGTCTCAGCCTATAGTAAAACCTATAAGCATGTGCAATCGTATCTAACGTGTCGAGGAACGATGGGGTATCCTGGTGGTGCTCGTCACGCCGAAGACCCAGGTTCGATTCCCCATGTGGGTACAATTTGTACTAAAGTCAATCACTCTCACATATACCGGACATCCTATACTGACGTGCAATGGAAATTACACGCCTGGTGTTTTGGGGTTATTTTTCAAAAAGCAATGTAAATATTTTGAAAAGTGCCTTGATTGGGGCTCACAAGTGTAAATGTAATTTCAAGGGCTTAGTATTGTTACCGACTCGTGTCATGTAGAATCAAGTGTATTGTATTGCCATCTATACGTGCCATGTGATTAATCTCATGAATAGGATTGTTATTTACACGTGTCGTGTAAATTCAAGTGAATATTATTGTTATGTACATGTGTCATGAGTTAATTCCCAGGCATAATATTACTATAGACATGTGTAATGTAACTTCAAATTTATAGTATTGTTATTACTCGTGTCATGTAAATCCACATGTGTAGTATTGTTCTATGTCGTGCCATATGTTGATTGTCATGCATAATACTGTTATCTACATATACCATGTGATAATGTTAAATATTGTTATCGCCACGTGTCATGTAAATTCAAGTGGATAGTATTGCTATCTACACGTGCAAAGTAAATATTTTAAAAAGTGTTTTCATTTGGATTCACAAGTGTAATTGTACTTTCAAGTATTTAGTTTTGTTATCGCCACGTGTCATGTAGATTCAAGTGGATAGTATTTTAATCTACACGTGCCATGAAAAAGATCATGCATAGTATTGTTCTCTGCTCGTGTCATGTAAATTCTCATGGATAGTATTGTTATCTACACGTGTCATGCGTTAATTCTGATGCATAGTATTGCTAATAACACGTGTTATGAAAATTCAAGCGTATAGTATTGTTATATATACGTGCCATGTGATAACTCTCATGTATAGTATTGTTATTTACAATGTCATGTAAATTCAAGTGTATAATATTGTTACCCCCCGACACGTGTCATGTAAATTCAAGCGTATTGTATTGCTATCCATCGTGCCATGTAAATTTCCATGTATGATATTGGTATCTAACGTGTCATGTAAATTTCCATGCATGATATAGTTATCTATCGTGTCATGTAAATTTCCATGCATAATATTGTTATTTAACGTGTCATGTGAATGTCCATGCATAATATAGTTATCTATCGTGTCATGTATTTTAAGTGTATAGTATTGTTATTACAAGTATCAGGTAAATTCTCATGTATATTATTGTTGTCTACCGTATCATATGATAATTCTGAAGGGTCGGATATTCCATTCGTAACTGATTGGACCTAAAAGGATATTTTATTCCCGTTGATTCCACATGAATCCCGTTACAGTTACACGTGTAATACTGATACTTTTGACGAGCAGTATTACTATCATCAGGGACAGTATTGTAATAATAAAAATCGATATTGTCATTGGCATGAGCATTATTGTCATTAGCCTGGATCCTAAGACAAGAATCATTTCTTTATGGATCATGTCGTATCGTTTCACCAATGGGGTTAGAACAAACCCCCTGCAACCCATGCTTGTCATACGTAACCCGTGAAGCACAGGCCCCCACTGCGGGTCAGAAAATCGATAAACTAGGCCCCGGTTTAGTATCAACACCCCCTACTATATAATACATAAAGGTTCATCACAGAAATACGGTGACATGATCGAAAACCGGACAATAACGCACATGTCAATAAATATATCGTATTTTAAAGGTCTCACAAGTATCAAAAGCTTTTGTCCATATCTCCGATGTATGTGGGAGGCATATACATGCGCTTTCCGTGGGGATGCATTTGACGGGTTTTATTAAATCGCCAAAGACCGAGTTGCTGTGCCGGAAGTGTACAAAACTAGATCGTCAGCGCAATCAAATTGGTTAATAAAATGACATCAAATGCACGTGCGAAAATGAGAGGGAAACTCAAACGTCTGTCATCCAAGATGTATGTCACTATCTGATGTTTTTTCTTGGTAAGAATAATTTTAAAAACGAGTACAAATATTTTTTATAGAAACACATTCATTCAGTGTAATGTGTTAGCCAATCAGATCGCCGGAGGTAGTGAAGTCAAGCGCTGACGAGCTAGTTTTGTATACTTCCGGCACAGCAACTCGGTCTTTGGCGATTTAATAAAACCCATCAAATGCATTCCCACGGAAAGCGCATGTATATGCCTCCCACATACATCGGAGATATGGACAAAAGCTTTTGATACTTGTGAGACCTTTAAAATACGATATATTCATTGACATGTGCGTAATTGTCCGGTTTTCGATCATGTCACCGTATTTCTGTGATGAACCTTTATGTATTATATAGTAGGGGGTGTTGATACTAAACCGGGGCCTAGTTTATCGATTTTTTTACCCGCAGTGGGGGCCTGTGCCGTGAAGATCCGGGTTACAGCTGGTCTTCAACAACCTAAGAGGCGACTAACGGGATCGGGTGGTCAGCCTCGCTGACTTGGTTGACACAATTCGTCGTATCCCAGTTTTAGTTCGACGATCATGATGATGATCACTTGATTGTCTGGTCCACACCCGATTATCTAAGACCGCCGCCATATAGCCAGCGTTGCAAACTCCCGCCTTCCCGACCGTCCGGGACGGTCTGTTTTGCGACCGGACGGTCAGGTTTAAGAAGTTGCACGCCCGATGGTCTGGCTGTTAAATCAGTGTAATTTTGTAATGTAACCTAACCAATTAAGATCAAAGTTTCTTCCCTGACATAAAAATCGTGTTTCTGTCTTCATTCGTCATTGGCCAAGTGATCGAAATTAAATCTATCCGGCCAGAGCCCGTTTTAGATCTAGACCTGCACTCATAACAGTGCATTACTGAGTACGCTCTAGACATGCGATGCCTATATCGGTGTAAGGAGCTCTGGTTGAAGTTTACAGCATGGCGACGTCCAGGCAATGGCATGCTTTCCGTATTGTTTGATTATCAGCTTGGCCTTTTATATCATGCTGCGACAATTTTTAGGACTTCCAGCTGCCCACAAACGCAAGACTCAAGCTGAGAAAGATAAAGAGTATGAAAAAAAGAGGAAACGTTCAATTGTTCCTTCGTGGAAGACAGATTTTCCATGGATTATAACCGACGAGATTCACGAAAGAATATATTGTAAAACATGTAGATCGGTGTATGGCCCACTCAGTACCAGGAAACTAACAGATAAGTTTCATAAGTATGCATCAGGACCTTTTGTTGTAGGTTCCAGTAATTTAAGACGTGATTCTCTTGTCACGCATGAAAAATCGGACGGACACAATTTTGCATGTCAATATGAAAAGTCACACAATGCAGAATTCAGCCCAGCGGAAAAAAAGTCTTCAAACTTTAAATAGTGCCGTTTTCGAAAGACTAGAGAAACTTTTCAGAGTTGCA